CATTTACATGTGGGCCAAGGCGTGATGGAGCTGTGACTGCCCTGTCTTCTCCCACTCCAAGCCTATAGCCAGCATGTTTCCTGTCCCCCCTTTCCTACTGTTTGCAGGAATGTGCCTCCTTGGCATTAAAAATAGCCAATGCACAATTTACATTACAGTGAGTAAGCATCCCAAATTTAGCAAACATTGGCACGTAAAAATAGACAATGGTAATCCCAGTCTAATTTTGCTGGTAACTAAAATAAGCGCTCCCCTTTTCAAACACCAGCGACAGCTGGTGGCTTCCATATTAACAAGACAGTAAATCTGTTCTGAGCTTCAGTTCAGATTTTAAAAGGCCCTATCCAAGGTACTGAACCTTAACCATTCCCAAGGTGGGTTTTTTTTTCCAGTGTGCTTGATAGCATCTTTAAAGTCGGCACTAAAATCCAGAGCAAGGTCACTGCCTCCACAAATAGCCTCCACTTGAAAGGGGAATATGGTTCTTCCAGACACCTGAGCTGATCCATCTACTATAACTGCCACTGCCTTGGGCATAATAGAATCATAGAATCATGGAGTTGGAAGAGACCTCATGGGCCATCCAGTCCAACCCCCTGCCAAGAAGCAGGAATATTGCATTCAAATCACCCCTGACAGATGGCCATCCAGCCTCTGTTTAAAAGCTTCCAAATAAGGAGCCTCCACCACACTCTGGGACAGAGTTCCACTGCTGAACGGTTCTCACAGTCAGGAAGTTCTTCCTCATGTTCAGATGGAATCTCCTTTCTTGTAGTTTGAAGCCATTGTTCCGTCCTAGTCTCCAGGGAAGCAGAAAACAAGCTTGCTCCCTCCTCCCTGTGGCTTCCTCTCACATATTTATACGTGGCTATCATATCTCCTCTCAGCCTTCTCTTCTTCAGGCTAAACATACCCAGCTCCTTAAGCCGCTCCTCATAGGGCTTGTTCTCCAGACCCTTGATCATTTTAGTCCCCTCCTCTGGACACATTCCAGCTTGTCAATATCTCTCTTGAATTGTGGTGCCCAGAATTGGACACAATATTCCAGGTGTGGTCTAACCAAAGCGGAATAGAGGGGTAGCATTACTTCCTTAGATCTAGACAAGACGAAAGCAGAGCTGCAGGAAATCAAGACAGTATGACACCACACAAAGCTATATCTACCACCAATACCACAAGATAATTTAGAACTAGGATTCAAGGTCTTGTAGGGAATGGGTGAAGTAGGCAACCTCATTGGGGGGTCAATTTTACCAATTTTTAAGTGATAGTTCTCATGAAATTTGAGTTTATGGAATGGAGAGTTACTGTCTGCAAGTGGATATAGCAGATTCCCATAGATTGGTGGTCTGCCCATTTGTCTACAGCAGTAGTGTCCAACCTTTGTTCCTCCAGGAGTTTTGGACGTATTGTTTATTATTATTTACTGTATTTGTATAGCGCCTTTCTCAGCCAGTTGGTGACTCAAGACACTCCCAGAATTCCCAAGCATCGGACAAGCTGGCAGAGGCTTCTGGGAGTTGGAGTCCCAAACACTCGAAGGATCAAAATTTGGACTCCCCTAGTCTACTGAGGAATAAGTAGCAGAGCTCTGGTTTGATAAGTAGACCGAACACATACTCTTCCTTGTTATTGAGGTAGTCTAGAACAGTGGTTCTCAACCTGGGGTTCCCCAGATGTTTTTGGCCTACAACTTCCAGAACCAATTTACCAGCTGTTAGGATTCTGGGAGTTACAGGCCAAAAACATCTGGGGACCCCAGGTTGAGAACCACTGGTCTAGAATAACATTGGCTTTTTTAGTTGCCACATCATACTGTTGACTCATGTCCAGCTTGTGGTCTACTAAGAAGTCTAGATGCCTCATAGAAACACAATGACAACCAGGTTTAAAATAATATGATAAGAGCTTGGAAGGGCTTTGGAAATATTAGGATCTTAGAGCTGTGGAGTTGGAAGGTACAACAAAGATAATGTTATCTGACCAGTGTAGGGGTCCACAAATAAATAATCCCTGACAGATGGCCATCTAAAGTCCAACCCATCCTCTGTCCTCCTCCCAATCTTTTAGCATTGAAGATAGAGGAGAGAAGTAAATATGTGGATTTGTTGATGTCACTGCTGCATTGCCAAAATCTTGTGGGAAAGGGAAATACTGTTTAAATAAATGCATGCCCCTCTATAAGAACCCTCACATTCATCTTCTACACTAATTTTGATAATGCCTCTCCAGTTATTAACTTAATTGCTTTCCGTCAGGCTCGTTTACTCCAAAACTCTTTAAGCAAGCTTCCAGCAAAATATCACAAAAACATTAATACCATAACCATATAAAACTATTAATATAAAAGCATCTGCCATAATTAAGGGAGCCTTTGTGTGGCAGGGAAAAGGGGATTATCAATTGTTTCAATTTGTTTGTCGTTGCTAAATGGGTTCAGCCATTTCCAATCTTGTTCAAACTCTGGCTGAATAAACTTCTCTTAATTTTTATGAACTAGGGTTTTCTTTTTAAAGAACAACTGATGTTGAGAAAGTTGTGGCATCATTTTCCAGTGGCAATGGGAAACAGGATTCCAATGGACTGAAAAGTTAGGGTTTGCAAAAGTTTTAAATCAATGTATTTCCTGTTATCCAAATCCCTGGGAATAAATGGAATTCTGTTATATACTTTGGTTTCATTCATAGATAGATAGATAGATAGATAGATAGATAGATAGATAGATAGATAGATGTGGGCGCAGTGGGATAAACCGCTGAGCTGCTAAACTTGCTGACCAAAAGGTTCAAATCTTGGGAGCAGGGTGAGCTCCTGCTGTTAGCCCCAGCTTCTGCCAACCTAGCAGTTCAAAAACATGCAAATGTGAGTAGCTGAATAGGTACAGCTCCGGCAGGAAAGTTATGGCACTCCATGCAGTCATGACCTTGGAGGTGTCTACAGATAACACTGGGTCTTCAGCTTAGAAATGGAGATGAGCACCAACCCCCAGAGTCAAACATGACTGGACTTAATATCAGGGGAAAACCTTTACCTATATTTACCTAGATAGATAGATAGATAGATAGATAGATAGATAGATAGATAGATAGATAGATAGACAGATAAAGGCAAATGTTCCCCTGACATTAAGTCTAGTTGTGTCCAACTCTGGGGGGTTGGTGCCCATCTCTGAGGTAGACACCTCCAAAATCATGTGGCCAGCATGACTGCATGGAGCGCCATTAATTTCCCGCAGAAGTGATACCTATTGATCTACTCACATTTGCATGTTTTTGAACTGCTAGGTTGGGAGAAGCTGGGGCTAACAGCGGGAGCTCACCCTGCTCCCCAAATTCGATCCAGTGACCTTTCGGTCAGCAAGTTCAGTAGCTCAGCAGTTTAACCCATTGTGCCACCAGGGGGCCAGATACATAGATAAGGACAGAGTGATTCATAAACTCTTTGTGTCCCACCATACCCCCTTAAAGCTATGGGAACTTCTGGAAAATATTGATCATAGAGTCACCCTGGATGACCTGTACATTCCTAGAGAAAATATATTGATCAGATGCACAAATAATCAAATTTGCAAAAATTAAACCTACAAGTGTAAAATCTGGCTGTATACACAAACTTTGCAAACAGTTTATCCTGTTGCATTGAAAATGGATTTTGGTCACATAGACAAGTGTGGAATGGGGAAAAATGACTGCAAACATTTCAGTGCCAGATACAATTCACTTTTTTTAAAAGGAAATGAAATTGGGGGAAAGACCATTTTTTCAGCTTAGTTAAAAAACTGCTTGGCCTTGTACCACAGGTTAGTAGTCCTCCCTCTATTGAATCATATTTTATCATGCTGGTCACCTATATCTCCTGTTCTCCAAAAAAGAAAATGTATTGTAGAAGTTACCTCTCCCAACGCCTTCCCCTGGGCCTTAAGTGAAGTGAAGCGGGTTAGGCTGTCAGCTGGCGGAGGGATTATTGTACCATGAAAGACAAAACATTTAGACACATCCTCATAGGTATGGAAGGCTCATACCTGCCCTGACCTGACCTCTTTTCCACCCGATGGGAATTGCTCCAGAATGCTCTCCTCCTTTGAATAGGTTTTATTTGTGGGTTTGTTTGGAAAGAAAAGTCATTTCTATTGCATTCAGTGAGGATAGCTGAGGGAGAAATATAAGGGAGTTTTATTTCTGTACACAGTTTTGTTTCTTTGTTTTTTAACTCATGAGTTTAAAAGGCCATGAGTTCGAAGCCAGCCCGGGTTGGGGTGGGTTTCCAACCAATTGTGTAGCCTGTTGTCGACCTTTGCAACCCGAAAGACAGTTGCATCTGTCAAGTAGGAAAATTAGGTACCACCTTAAAGTGTGGGGAGGCTAAATTAACTGATTTATGAGGCCATAAAAGAGATTCCAGCAAAGCACTCCAGCAAAAAAGCATGCGGGGAATGCGGAAGTACTTCATCAGTGTCGCAGATGGATGATGAAAGCGACAGCTCCCCTGGCGGTCAGAAAAAGTTAAATAGCCTCTGTGTATGTCTGTATATGTTGTAAGTCAAAAATTGGCATTGAATGTTTGCCATATATGTGTACACTCTAATCCGCACTGAGTCCCCTGCGGGGTGAAAAGGGTGGAATATAAATGCTGCAAATTAAATAAATAAATAAATAAAAGAGAGCTAAATGGCATTTCCTCTCTCCTCCTCCTGTTTTTCTTTGTAATGATGAGAAATTGTGAATTTGCATGCAAGGCTGCACCATAGCAGTGATACAGTGAATATACTTTGGATTTTTACCCAAAATAAATAGCCCAAGGAGCAGAATTCGGACTACAAAATGGGCTTATTATCTTAGATAGCTCCTTCAAAGTTCAGACTAAAACTCAGAGTGGGGCCACCACCTACTAGCATGGAAGTGACTAGCTGTTGCTGGTGAAAACTCCTTGAGCTGGAAGCATCCACAGCAGTGTGCATCGTGACTGATGTCCTTTGTGTTGTGATTGTTTTCTCCTTGCAGTTTCCTGCTTCTTCAACTTCACCACCCCGTCTGGGATTGTGCTTTCCCCAAACTACCCTGAGGAATATGGTAGCAGCCTCCACTGCGTCTGGTTGATCATCGCAAAGCCCGAAAGCCGCATCCACTTGGCCTTCAACGATTTTGACGTGGAGCCTCAGTTTGACTTTTTGGCTGTAAAAGATGGTGGAACGGCTGAATCGCCTGTCTTGGGAACCTTCTCTGGGAGCCAGCTCCCTTCTTCTCTAACTAGCAGTGGACATGTCACTAGACTGGAATTCCAGACCGATCATTCTACTGAGAAACGAGGCTTCAATATTACCTTTACCAGTAAGTAGGCATAATTTGACTGCTTTAGCTGTAATATTGTATGGGTCCATTGTGCACTTCTTCTTTGTCTTCATATTTAGAGTGTTTTCTTCCCACCATTCAGCTGAAGGATTCCCAAGTTAGTTTGCAAATCATTAATTTGGCACTTCTGTGCTCTCTGTTGCAAAAAGACAACCAAAATAAGACAAACGGTATTAAGAAAGGGGGATAGCAATGGGGAAGACCTCTTTACACAGGCCTTTTTTCACCCAGTTCTTCCATTTGTTGATGGGGACTGCCAAGTATCATCAGACAACGTTGACTTGGCCCTACCCACATTCCTTCCAAATTGGAGGGGAAGTGTTACAAGACACTTCCTCTTCCACAACGGAGAAGGAAATGTTTTTCGGGTCGCTCTGATGGAGCTACCCACACTTTCCTCTCCATTTCCTCATATGATGGGGGGTGGGGCAAAGTGTGTTGCCACCCTTTCTCCCATATGATGGGAACAGGGACGCACCTTTGCCCATTCCCACCATATGATGGGGGAAGGAGGGTGTGCACACAGGGTGCCAAAAGCCAGCCCATGCACCTTCCCATTCGCCAGTGACTGCTGGCAAAATGGCACTGCCCTAGGGGCCATGTGAAGATTTCCTAAGTTCAGCAGATCTTAGCTACTCTTCCCTCCCTCTGAGGCTAAAGCAATGGCACTTGGAACATGGAGAAAGGGCCTCTCACCAGCTACTTGGACAAGGCATGATGGATGTGCCCTTGGCTGCTCTTCTGTTCCTCAGATTCCCTTCTTGTTCTTATTATAATTTTTATTGTTGATGCTACTTAAAGTGCAGTCCTCAAGGCCTGGCAGTATTGATACTTGCTACTGGAAACTGTACCAATTTTAGGTCAACCTAGAGCAGAAATAGAAGATGAGAGAGGGAAATCTAAATGTAATTAATTATCAGTTTCTAACACTGGTGTTGCACCAGCAGGAGACTCAAGTTAGGACTTGGCTACAGCCTGCAGCAAATTCAAGTGGGAATTGCATTCAACAGACATTGTTCAAAACACATTCCCTGGTGAGTCATTTCTGTATACTAACAAGAGTCTGCAGAAAAAAGTAAATAAGATGATGAGAGGTCCATGACCAGAGCTTTAAAATATAGACCAAGATCCTGCATTAAATACATACTTGAAACATGGCAATGCTTCTCCATTCGGCTCTGGAAACTCACCTTAAAAACCAGTCAGTTGTCCTAAATGATGGAGGTTTATACTGCTGATGATCAGGGTGTTTTGGCAGGACATGACCAGCCCCTTCCACTATGAAGCGAACCTGTAATGAGACGTTATGACAGATCCCCACAAGGTTTAGCACCTTCCATAGGTCCTTTAAAATCCAGACTAACACCCAGAGAAGGTTTAAAGGAGCAAAATGTATTTATTTATTTATTTATTTATTTATTTATTTATGATATTTATTTATCACCTTTCTCACCCTCGGGAGGGGTGTGTGTGTCTCAAGGCGGTTTACGACATACTAATGGCAAAAATTCAATGCCAACATACATACATGTGAACATTAAAAAAAAATCATAATAACTAAACACTAACATATAACTATAAATTAAACCATTAAAACATTAAAACCATTAAACATGAGACATAAACAACATTTAAGCACTTAAAAAGCATTAAAAGCATCCTAGAATAAATATTAAAATCGCATAATCCAAATCCTCACCCCTGCTTCTACACATTCTGACCTTTTGGCAGGAGAAGCTTAGTAACATCATCCAAAAGCATATTTCCATCACTAAAAAATACCACATGACTTTTAAGTGAGTGTCACAATTACATTTGACACTGCAAAGCAATTACAGTATCCTAAGTCTAATTTAGGACACCATAACTAGTACCTAACCAGATGCCAGCCATTGCCTGTTGATGCATTTGAGGACAGGGACTGCAATCCATGAAAGCATATGCTGTTGTTGTTTTGCACTGGCATCAAGTCAGCATTGGCTTATGGTGACCTCCAAGCCACTCCATCCTCAATAGTCCTGCTTAGGTCTTGCAAAGTTAAGGCCATGGATTCCTTGATTGAGTCCATTCATCCGTAATATAGTCTTCCTCTTTTCCTATTGTCTTCTGCTCTACCAAGCATATGTTGCCTTCTCAGTAAGTCATATCTTTTCAAACCAAGAATGGGCAACTTGGAAGTCCCTGAACCGATTCAGAAGTGAAGTGGGCAGACCAAAAGACAACCTGACAAAATGGCATTACCTAGAAGAATCCTCCACCTTGTGCAACTGTGGAGCAGAACAAACAACTCCACATCTATATGCTTGTCCGCAATGTCCTGTCTCATGTACAGAGGAAAAATTGTTGGAGGCTACAGACAATGTGGTTGCTATTGCCCGTTTTTGGTCAGAAGATATGTAGGCATGTGTGATCCTTCTATTTTTATCAGTTTTATACTAATTTATGCAATGCTTTGGATACAAAATAAATAAATAAATATCTTCTTATGATGTGGCCAAAGTATGATAGTCTCAATTTAGTCATCTTGGCTTCTAGGGAGAGTTTGAATTATTTATTTGATTTACTTTAGGACCCATTCAGTAGTCTTTTTAGCTACTATCACAAATCCATGAATCATAAAGATTCCACAAATCTCCTTGTTGTTGCAAAACATTAGCACAGCTGCTAATGCACCGGGAGCCCCCGGTGGCGCAGTGGGTTAAACCCCTGTGCCAGCAGGACTGAAGAACGACAGGTCGCAGGTTTGAATCCGGGGAGAGGCGGATGAGCTCCCTCTATCAGCTCCAGCTCCTCATGTGGGAACATGAGAGAAGCCACCTGCAAGGATGATAAAAACATCAAATCATCCAGGCGTCCCCTGGGCAACGTCCTTGTAGACTGCCAATTCTCTCACACCAGGAGTCACTCCTGACACGACAAAAAAAAAAAAAGCACAGCTGCAACAAACTAATGCAGGTCCTCCTTTGGAAACAATTTCTATATACAAAGTTGCTGCAGATGACATTTTCCTTTCCTTATTACATGCCTTTCATAATTGCCCCTTTGATTAACTGCTAAAATCTCTTTAAATTCTGTCTACATATCTCATTATCACACCTCTTTAAACTCTCCCCCAAAGTCTTTTGGTAATAACTAAATTTGTAGTTGGTTTAACCTTGTGTGGAATCCTTGATTTTCATCACACACCTGATTGCTTTCCTACTTTGCAAGGTAATGAGTTGGCTGGCTCTGGAAAAAAGTCTAAAGCGACTACCCACATTTCCTAAGAAAAGGCTGAGCTTGGAAATCATGATTAGATTTTTTAATAGAGGAAAATAACACCAAGCAAACAATATATCCAGCCTACCCACTATTCCCTCAAGGGATCCTCAGAAGGAATTGTAGGTATATAGCTACAATTAGGATACACTTCATAGAGTTCAGCCATGCACACAGACCCATAAGAGCAGACAAAACAAATTCATGGGAGACAAAGAACCAAGGGCGAGGAGGAAACAATGGAAACAGATATTAAGAAAAGGGGACAAGAAAGGACACAAGCTATTTACCAGCTCCTTTTCTTCCAGTGACAGCTGGGCTGCTGAGCTGAATGTCCTTTGCTGCCACGTCCAGCGGCAACGCACCTTAGTAGTCCATCCTCTTGAAACGGAGGCCATAAAAAGTGGCAGCAGAAATAACATCTCCAATTAACAGAGAGCTTAAAACAAGGCTGAACATATGGTGTGTCCAAAGTCCTGCCTCAAAAGAAACATCTTCACTAGACAATCACAATCTGTTGGAAAGAATGAGGTGTTCAATAGGTGAACCTATCACAGGTTGTCTTTTGTTTTGGGTTTTTCTTTTGTTTTGTTTTGTTTTTGCAATTTGTTCAGAACAGGTTTGCCTTTGCCTTCTGAGGCTGAATGTGAGTGACTTCTCCAAGATCACTCAATGGGCTTCCATGGCTGAGCAGAAATTCGAATTCTGGTCTCCAGGGTCCTCATCCAACACCCTAACCACCCTACCACACTCGCTTCCATGTAGAAGAATGTACGTATGCAATTAAACATGCGCAGAAATGTGCATGGATATTTGTATGCACTCCTCAAAAAAAATCCCACAAGGCTGGACAGAAGGGAAAATGTAGCAAAGTTTGGGAAGCAGTAAAGCTATACATCTATAACTTTACTGCTATAACTTTACTGGAAAATATACATCTATCTTTAGGAGAAGAGAACTTCCTGGGACTGGGTTGCTTTGAGTTTTCCGGGCTGTATGGCTATGTTCCAGAAGCATTCTCTCCTGACATTTTGCTTGAATCTAGGGCAGGCATCCTCAGAGGTTGTGAGGTCTGTTGGAAACCAGGAAAATGGGGTTTATATATCTGTGGAATGTCCAGGGTGGGAGAAAGAACTCTTGTCTGTTGGAAGTAGGTGTGAATGTTACAACTGGCCACCTTGATTAGCATTTAATGGCCTTGCAGTTTCAATGTTTGGCTGGTTGCTACCTCTCAAGCCACAAGACTAAAGACAATGATCCACCCAGAGGAAAAGTGTTCTTGCCATACATCAAGGGAACCACTGACCGCATAGGGAAACTGATGAGGAAACACAACCTACAAACTATCTACAGACCCACTTAAAAACTCAAACAAATGCTACACTCAGCAAAGGACAAGAGGGATACTTTCACCTCTGCAGGAGTCTACCGTATACCATGCAGCTGTGGACAAATCTAAATAGGGACCACCAAACACAGAGCCCAGACACAAATCAAGGAATATGAAAGGCACTGCAGACTACTTCAACCAGAGAAGTCGGCCATAGCAGAGCACTTGATGAACCAACCTGGACACAACATATTATTTGAGAACACAGAAATGCTGGACCACTCTAACAACCACCATGCTAGACTATACAGAGAAGTCACTGAAATCCACAAGCATGTGGACAATTTCAACAGAAAGGAGGAAACGATGAACATGAACAAAATCTGGCTAC